GCAGGAAAAGAGCACAAAGCACCACAGCAAGGCAGCGGAGGCAGAAAACAAGACGAGGATGGGAAACACCACCACCAGGGCGGGAAAGATGGGACCAGGAGCATCCAGACTGGGATCAAGCCACCCAAAGGTGCCAGCTCTCCTTAAGCTCCGCAGGACTCCAAAGAGCAGCTGATTCGGGGCAGGTTTGGAGCCTTTGCTGGTCGAGTGCAGGGGGATTTCTTCTTCCATCAGGCCTCTGGGTGGCTTTTAGGATCCAGCCTCTGGAAACGCACTTGGCACGGTGGCCCAGCCCTGCCTCACGACCTTCGGGGGTTTAGTTTTTAGGATTCAGCCTCGCCACGCGAGGACGACGTACAAACAGCCGAGCCGACAGCACGGCCAAGGCGTAAAAATGATCGTGCAAAAGCGAAGCTTGGTCCTGGCGGGGGCTGCGGCCGAAGCAGCCGCACAAGGAAGGGTGAGGGAGGCGCAAGGGGGGCTGCAGGCAGAAGAGAAGCCGTGGTGTTTAACCCCATGGCAGCAAGCGTTAACGCCAGCCCACTCAGTTCCCACCAGCGGAGGAATCCCGTTTAACTGAGCCACGGGAGGAATCCGGGCATGGGGTGCAATGGTGACCCTGTTTCAAAACACTACTGAAGGCAAATCCCAACACAACCACAGCCCCTCCAACCCCCCTCCCAAAAAATACAGCCCCCCCCGAGGCCACGATGCGCTTACCGCCAGGCTGAGGAAGCCAATGCTGCTTCCTGCCGTGCTTCCCGGGACCGACATCCAGATCCGCATAAACAATTTCCCTGGCCATAGCGGGAGCGGCGAGAGGACCACCGGCCATGCCCCTCGCGCGAACGGCGGCAATCCAGCGGGCGGGAAGTCCGGTTTTTCTGAGGCTTTTTCACTCCTCCGGCTCAGCTTTGCAGGCTCCTCTCCAAGCCTGAGCTCTGCGAGGAGAAGCGCGAGCTTCTGAACGCTCGTCGAGCCCAGCAAGATTGCGAGAGCGGCCTGAAAAGGAAACTCGACGTCACTTCTGCTGAATTAAGCCAGGGAAAACGAGCTCGCGTGGAGGGACGCGCCATCGGAGAGCATCAAGAAGCCTTTTCTGCTCCAAGCGCAGCCACACTCCTCCAAGGCACCAAACGAAATCTCCCCGAAGACGACGCCGTTAATGATTAAAAAAGCCCCAAGAACCCCCAGATAAGCGGCTCTGCAAACAGGCAGCTCCAGCCTTCGCGCCCCTCCGCCCAGATGGCTGATTTTGCACCAAAAAATCAGGTGTCATTGCAAAAAAAATAAAAAATTGTGTACAGCTTCTGCCACCTCCCAGAATATTCCCGGGAGGATCAGAAGCATCGCCGTTTGTATGGAATAAAATAAGCCCGGACCCCTTCCACCCCTACCTCCTCCCGCTCGCTCCCCACAAGGTGTTTTCCAGCCTTGGTCCCTGCTGCTCCCCACCCAAACCCATTCCAGGCGCTGCCTTCTCCCCGTTACCCGTTCCTTTGGATTTCCAGCCCGGGTTCGGAGCTCTGCGGAGCCAGCGGATGCCAAGAAGCCTGGGAGGCTCTGGAAACACGGGGGTAGAAACGAGCCCTTCAAGGGGAAAGGGTTAAAAAAATGTTCCAAACAGCTCAAGAAATGGGTTTGGTTTTCTGTCGTTCCTTGTTTTCAAGTCGGTTCCGGGAGACACGGAGCTTCTCCCTCTGGAAAATGGGATGGGGCTGGACTGGAGGGCGGGAACGGTAGAAAAGAAAACACAAGGGGGTAGAAAACAGAGCTATAAAGGCACGAGGTGACGCTCTTGGCACCTTGTTTGGAGGATTCCCGGGCTGAGAAACCCCCCCCCCCAGGATCCTGCCCCCCCCAGAGAGGCCAAAGCCAGACTGCCAGCAGAGTCGGACGCTTCCGGACCTGCTGAAGCACCCAAAACGAGGGGGTTCTCCCCAGTTAGGAGAACGTGGTTTCTCTGGAGAGCAAAATCACCCCGGACTTGCAATGGGAGCACACGGGGCAGGGGAGGGGGCTTGATGCAACCCAGGCCATGCCCAGGCCGGTGCCACCTGAGCAGGGACTGTGCCGCACGCATCCCAGCTGGGCATCCTCACGTCCCGCCTGTCCGGAGCAGGTCGGGAAAACCCCGGGGAGATTGGTCGGGACATTTTCCTTCAGGAAAACCAAATTCAGGAGGGGCTGCAGCTTCTCTACAAGCAACAAACTCTTTGGTCTACGGTTTCGGCGAGGCTTTCTGCATCCAGTCCAACCACACAGGGGCAAAGGAACGGCAAAATAAAAACCCCGGCGGGCAGCTGAGCACCACGCAGCCGCTCGCTCGCTCCCCCCGTCCCCACGGGGTGGGGGAGAGAATCGGGAAAATAAAAAAAAGTAAAACCCAGGGGTTGAGATTTTAGTTTAATAAAATAACAGAGGATAAGAAAAATAATAAAAGAACATTCCAAACAAGCGATGAATTGCACAGTGCAATTGCTCAGCACCCTCTGACCCTCACCCAGCCCAGCCCTGAGCCACCATTGCAGCCAATTCCCTCCAGTTTCTCTACTGGGAATGACATCATACGGTCTGGAGTCTCCATTTGGGAAGCTGAGGGCAGCTCTCCTGGCTGGGCAGGGAAGCTGGACAGTCCTGGATTAATATCAAAACCAGTTAGTAACAACTAAACAATTGGTGAGTGATAGACATTGTCCTGCTTAATCCAAACCACAGCTACACCAGCTGCTAGGAATTAAATTAACTCTACCCCAGCCGAAACCAGCAAAGGGACCAGTTTAACCCAGTGCCCCCAGTCCAGGTTGAACTGCAGGCAAT